CTTTTTTATTTTTAAAAATGGATTTACTCTCCATTTGTCCTCTTTAGAAATTATTATCATTATTAAGGAATGTATATATTTCATGTGGAAATATTTGGTTTGCACATGTATTTGTTTGTGTGAAAGTATGTATTTGTGTGAATACATACATGCATACATGTTTGTGCATATATATATATATATATTATATAATGTGTGTGTTGTATGTGTGTGTGTGTGTGTGTGTGTGTGTGTGTGCGTGTGTGTGGTGTGCGTGTGTGCGTGTGTGCGCGTGGTGCGTGTGTGGACAGGTGCTAATGTGTACATGCACAAAATGTATTTAAATACAGTCTTTCAAGACCTTTTTTTTTTTTTATAAAAAGTACCAGCCTGAACTTCAGCTTACCAAGAAAGCTGTTGAAAAGCATCTGTCCAGAGGAGTCTAGTCCTAAAATGGTGGTGCATAAACTAAGTAAAACGCTGTATAAAGTCAGTGAATGATGTGGTGAGTGTTTTAGGTAAGTTGATACATTAATTTTTCTAATGAGGTTCAAACTGCCAGTTGGAGGTTAAATGTTATTGGGTGTAATGGGATCAGGACTTAAAAGTTCTTGGAAAAATTAATTATTATGTGAAACTTATTTCTTCATAGAAAGAAAGATATAACAAATAATTAATATTTTGTATTAACTGCAGTTCAAGAGGTATAGATTACCTGAATGTGTGTGATTAACAATCATGTTACCATAAGAATTTTATATATATAGTCTTGATTTTTTCTCTATGAAAAGGAAAGTTAAGATATGTTGTTTTCTAGGTAAATGTTGTTTTTTATATAATAATATTTTAAGTATTTGGAATGTGGGTTTGAATATGAATAAGCCCAGCTTTCTGTGATTTAATCTTTTGTACATGGTTTTGAAAGTGATAAAAATAAATGGTACTGCCATGGAGTGACCATGTTAACAGTTCCATTCGATTATATTGATTTCTAAACCATAGAGAAAAAAAATCATTTGAATCAGGTTGGTACTGAAATAATGCAAAGCCTATATGACAATATAAATGTAAATAGTAGTGAATAGTTGATATAAATAGTGTTTTAGCATATCTAGCTCTTTAGGTAACTCGCAATTAAGAGTACAGTGTTGATTTTTCAGTAGACTTTATAATCAGTATAGGCAGTATTGGAGACAGTCAAGATGGTATCCATTTGCATCTGCACATCAGCAGGTTTACTACAAAAGCACGAGGTTGATATGAGTTGAAGGAGATAACTCTTAACTAGAAAGTACCAGTTAAAGGATAACAGGATACTAGTCACTGCCAAACAATGTTCAGCAATCCCTCAGTTTAGCAGAGTTCAGGTGTAAGGGACCAAAAGTAAAATATATAAGCAAAGTGTATCCCATTTTATGAAAACAATAGTTACGTTATAGCTTGTAAGGCTTTTAACCCATTGGATCTGGATGCTTCACTGCCATCATGTGGCCCAGAATACAGGCATTATGTTTATGTGAGTGGACACTGTGCTGGGTGAGTGACTTGTAGGCTGGGCACAAACAAACACTCATGTCTGGCGACAAGACTCCATACCGCCCCTTTGCAATGTCATTTTGTCTTTTCAGCATGAGTAGTTTTATTTATTTTTTTATGCCATTTTCCAAGGTCTATATTTGTTTTGATTTGCTTTATCTAGATGGTAATAGGCCGTTTTCCTTGAACAGACTCATATCATCTCTCTAGGAAGTCTGAAGCTCAGTGCAATAATGAAAACAATAAGTACCATTTTGTTATTTGCATCATTTTCTTCATAATATTAAATTTTCTGTAATACAACCTACACTGCCAGTCATTATGGGCTGGAATAAAAGAGCATCCTCCCTGGAGCCGTTGCTCTTCCAGTCATGGCTCACAGACATTACATTCCACCTTCATTTATTGATGGAAATTATGTAAAAGCCCCTTCCTAAACCCCAAAGGAGTCTAATCACCCTCCAAGAGCACTCACTATATCACCCGGTTCAGCCAAAAGTTTTCATCACCTGGCCTACAGCCAAATTTTCCCATGATGGCATTTTCATGTTGCCTGCCCCTAAAGCCATTTTTTTGTGATGCAATGGTCACATCATCCAGATTGTAGGGGTTAGGCATTGGGAACATGAATGCAAATCATCCCATAGACCAGTGCTTCCCAACCTTTTCATTTAGCAGAATGCCCCTGAAGCATTTTCCACATCACACAAAACCTCTACAAATAGATAATTAAAACACAATGGAAAATTTAAGACTTTCTTTTTGTATAATTCTTAGCATGTTTCTCCTAGCATGAAAAGTTACAGAAAGATTGCATGTAACATTAATAGTTAACTAGGAGTGTATCAGAAGCTGTCTTCAGGGCATTGTTAAAAGAGCAAAAATACCATTGTGTTGTTTTAAAATCCCTTTGGTCCTGTTTACTTTGTAATGTTTTCAGAATGTGAAGAAAAGTTCACATTTTTAGTTCTTTAATAACTCAGAATAGAATTCAGGTTGAGTAAACTTCTCTTGCTCTGTATTCTGGTAAATTGAGGGATTATTGCACAATACGTCTCTTACTGTACACTTGAGGCTTTACCTAATGAATGATATATCTTCTTGTTCTTTATGATGTTCTTCATACAGATGTAATCTAGTCAGATTTTCTCCTTCTCTATCCTCTTAACATTATTAACACCACCATATGAATCCAGTTCATATTCATATTTCTGTTTAGACATATATTTTTCTAATTCACAAGAAGCATCATGACTTCAAGTGCATGGTGCATCAAGTTTCTTATAGGCTGTAAAACAGTGAAGAAAGCAGGAAGGAAAGTGAGATTTGAATGTCAAATCTCAGTGAGACCAATAGCTTTAAACCTAAACACACCTGGGCAAGCTCATTACACAGTATTGAGACATAGAGTCCAATCATCTCAGCGTTGTGTACGTGGAACTTACCCAGATGGTAATTTGACAAAGTATGTTGCTTTGTGAATGTTAGTGTGTACATTTCATGTACCTTTCTAAAATAATCACAGTTTGATATCACAAGTCATGCTGTATGTGATGGTTCTAAAAGTAGTTTGTGTATGGAAAAGGTGTGGAATCATTAACAGAGTTCATTAAAGATTAAATAAAAGAAATCTGCTGAAGAAATTTATGGTAGCAAAAATGTTAGTTTGTCACTTTTGTTTTAAAAGTCAAAATATTTCTTCATCAAAATATCTACACTATCAGTTTGATATAATCACAAATCATGGGATTCAGAGGAAGAGTGTCAGTAAGCTCTGATTTCCTGTAATTAAAAGATGCAATCTGAAGTCTGTGATGTTAATTTTAGAGGTTTTTGGTATGAAGTGTTTAACTGACAAGTGAATAAACATCTCCCTCCATTTCTTGTTAACATCACACTATATTCTGAATGCTAATAGATTACTGATATTTCCAATATGCCATTGAAGGAAGAAGTTTAAACCTAGTTCTCCGGAGATCATGTCACTATTTTTTTTTTTTCCCTTTTTTGTGCCATTATAGTCAAAGCCTCGCTGAGAATATGCTATTATTAGGTTTATATTGGTTGTATAGGTACTTCTTTTTGTAATTACAGCATTTTACATGTTTTCTTAGAGTCCTGAGTTTACTAAGGAAAGAGTCAGGTTTGATGTAATATTTAAGCCAGTTACTTATTGAACTATTATCAGTGTTTGTTGATTTGCAAAACAAAAAAAAGCATGATTCATCATTTGCAGTTAAAATTTTGGATGTTTTCAAACGAAATATAGATATTTTTACTAGGGTATAGGATATTTTTCTTCAGTGATGACGATGCTGATTATTATCAGAACTGAGGTAGAATAAAGAAATTTTATATTACTCTGATAAACTGACTCCCTCCAAGAAGCTCCTTATATATAAATTATTGCTATAAAAGCCAGCTGAATGTAAGTAACTAGGTTTTATAAGATATGCTAATTAGGTTAAAGAGATTCATTTGCCCTTTATAGGATGAGAAATGAATACAATGTGATCCCTTTAAAGTTCCAGGACCAATCCATTTGATGCATTATGTCTGTGAAGGACAAAGTGAATGAATTTTCAGTGTCATGTACATTTTGTATGGAGGTTTTCTATTGTCAATAGAGATCAGAAATAGCTGGAGCATTTTACTGACCCTCGACTTTGCTTACTGAAGTGCCGTGGAATTGATTCAGAAAGAGAAGAATAAAGTCCATTTCTAAATTCGATTTTTTTTTTTTTTTTTTCCCAACTACAAATGATAATAAGTATCTCTTTGATGGCAGTATCAGCTTAAAGTTTATTGTAGTTATATTACCTTTGATGGGCAAAATGATGAGTAATTTAGTTAAGATATATATTAAAAACTTTAATTACAAATAATATTTACATTCTTCAAGAACTCAGTACTTGAATGTACAGTTGCCAAAATTAAACTTAGAAATACTCAATAAGTAAACAAAGGATAAATGATACTACTTGTCCTTTTTATATATGACTCTTTAATTCTAAAACTAAGATGAGATTTAACTTAGTGTTTTTGTAAATTTAGAACTCCTGTTCATAACTATTGCAACATTAAGTTTGGCAGTTTGGTTTTTGAAAATAATTCAATTTCCAGTATCACATTAACCATGAATTCTGATTTTCAAGGGCCTTACTTATTAAAATACAAAGTCTTACTCAGTTTCTTAGTGAATTAAATTTCATGGGAGTTGGACTCAAATGAATGGAGCTCTTACAGTCTTGCCACTTTTGTTTCTAAACTCGTCCAGTCTGCGCAGCACTCGCCTCTCATGGATCCAGTCCAGCACACCCTGCCATTCACTGAATGGACCTCACAGGCGCTTTTTGTGTAGTGCCTTAGTGCTCCACTCATAAGAATGTTATTCAACAGGATATGAGTGTATGACTCGCAAAATACTTAGTAATTTGATAAGTACGGCTCAAGGAGCATATCAAAAAAGTTTTATGACACATGGTTTTATTTTTTTAGATGTACAAATACAATACAGCTAATTGATACAATTTTCTGTCCCTTTGGATTACAGGGTTGACATATCGTCTTAAATCCCATTTCAATATAAAAGTCGAAGAATAAACATTAACAAATATATGCACATGGGGGCTTGTCCCGATTTTTCTTTTCCTCATTAGAACTGACTTGTACTAAGTAAGCTTATAAAAAGAGAAAAATAATCATAACTTGGGTTTCCTAATACTCAGTACCTATACTGAATTCTGCAGAATTTAGGAAAGTCAAAACATGCAATTATTCATTCTGACTCAGACTGTCCTCATGCTCACTCACTTCTGTGATGCTATATAGTCAACACCAACAAAGTAGATAACTAAACTCATGAAATGAAACACCTTTTTCCTGTTCATTATACTACTACTAAAATTCAGTCTTCCTTGAAAAGGAACCTTATGTAACAAGTATTGTTATAAGTCTTAACATTGTACATGCTTCTGAATACATAAACGACCTACACAGAATTATAACTAACACACAAGAATCATGTACATATATGTGTAGTCATGCACTAAGGTTTCACATTGAACAATTTGTAAATATATACATTAGTAAAGACAAACACACACACATTGTCAATCAATGTATGAGTGTGTGAGTGAGTGTGAGTATGTGAGTGTGAGTTGGAGTGTGAGTGTGAGTGAGTGTGTGTGAGTGAGAGAGAGAGAGAGAGAGAGAGAGAGAGAGAGAGAGAGAGAAGAGAGAGAGAGAGAGAGAGAGAGAGAGAGAGAGAGAGAGAGAGAGAGAGAGAGAGAGAGAGAGAGAGAGAGAGAGAGATATTGTCACACCTCGCGAAAAGCCGACACGACTCTATGGTTGGACGCGCCCCGTTTCAATTACTTTTCGTCATAAAAAGTGGGAATCGAAAATAACTTTGGAAGGTGATTGAAATAAGACGCCAGAGGCTCCGGTTGGCGCCACGGCGAAGATCGCCACCGCGCCAGGAGAGGAAACCGGACATGTCAGGATCAAGGGCTCAGTCCACAGCAGACCTCTCGGCCACAAATACAGTCTACTTTGCAGCAACAAGGTCTGCGCAGATGAGGCAGGAGGTGACTTCTCTGGACAGTGACTCGCCCAACGGCACTGCCCTGCGGCGCCACGTCACGTGGTTATCACGGCGACCCAAAGGCCTCCTCCCGACGTGGCCTCAGGCCTCCGTCGTTGGGCGGACGATCAGCCTAAACTCTCCCACCGCAGCGGCAGCCACGACGTCGCGCGTCTGGCAATGATGCCGTGATCACCAGCAGCCGCGCCCTCTCACTCCAGGCTTGGCCGACCGACAGCCTTTCAACACCACGCAGTGTTGCCGGACACTGTGGCTTCTCCTCTGCTGTTACAACGCCAAGTCCCCGGCAGGATGCTCTCGCCCGCTCAGCACGGCAGCGGGGATGCGTTGCCGACCTTTTCTCTTGCAAGCAATCCGCCGTCCTTCTCCTTACTTAAGGTTCCTTCTTAGAGCAGAAGGACATGGAGTGTGGACTGATAAACGAGACCAAAACTTTTCAAAAGTAGTTAATAAGTATTTATTTTGATTTTTTTGTGCAACACAAGATACAAATGAAAGCATAATAATCGTAGTAGACATGGCAACATCTTAAGATCAGTTGCCAGCATCAATCCAAAATTCACCAGAATTCTGCGAGCATTTTACGCAATGGAAGCTTCAGGAACTCCTTTCTGGGGTCAGCGCAAAGTCATCGGAATCCTCCTCCCACAAGAACCCTCCGCCTTTCCTCACGTGACATCCTTCTCACTTCCCTCTGGATAATCAGTGTCCTCCACCGTCGCTTGTGTCACGTCTTGCATGTTATCATTGCGAACATTCAGCATATTGGTCAAGGTGACGCCAGCATTTCTGGCCTCCTCCCCTTCCACTAAATCTGGGTTCATGCTCATTTTCTTGGGCAGTGTGCCGTTGTCTACATTGTCTCCAATGTAATTCACAAGCTCGTTAAACACCTCTGCTCTGTCTGCGTACACATGGTGACCTGCGCCTTTGATGACCTGCCAACAGAAGAGGGGGTTAAAGGGGGAAGGACTCATAGGGAACACACACAGGCACGCACATCGTCCCAGACGTGATGTGGAACCAATCCTTCAATACCAAAGGTAAATAAAGATGCGTAAAATATCAAAATCCCTCATTTTACCCTTAACATTAAGCTTCAGCTTCAACGTCGTATATGGCAAAGTCAGGCCTCTCCCTTCCCTCTTCCCAAAGCACGAGACTCACCACTACGTCGACATACGAGTCCTGCCTCGTGCACTTGATCTGGAAACCGGGATCCCGGTCCACCCAGGACCTCGAGCCGTAGAGCAGGCTGATCGGGACTTCCTTCCTCAGCGAGTCCATTCGGTGGATCATCGGATGCTTCGCCCAGCCAAAGCCGGCCATGAGGGCGTGGAAAGCCGACTCACCGCTGGACCGACAGGAAGAAATGGATAAAAAATAACAAAGAAAAAGATGCTTCAGCTGCAGTATAATCAACGAATACTAACAGGATTTTCCTTGTTTTGAATGCGGAGAGAAAAAAAGAAAAGAGATAGATAGATGGAGAGTGAGAAGAAAGCGGAAACAGGTGTTGTTTTGCCTTGTAAGTTGCTGCGGCGGCTGCATCAGGGAGCCTAGCCATTGTTTAATTTCTTGTCTGCTTGAACCTGTCCTTCCAGCCTTCTCTTTAGATTTAAGGAAAAACAACAATCATCCAAAGCTTTCAACAACGCCAATGAAAATAAAAATGAGACTTAATAGATTATAGAAGTGAATGGCTGTACTAGGTCAGTCAACAAGAACAAACAGTAAAGAACTATAAATTCCCTCGTAGGCAACGTGCTTTTGTATAACAGCGTTACCAGATGAAAGCCTAGGGTGGCCGGAAGCATCTGGTGCTAGATGCTTCCGGCCACCCTAGGCTTTCATCTGGTAACGCTGTGGCGCATTCAGACATTAGAATAGATCTGCAGGCACACCACCTAATATACTCTAGCACTCCTTTCGAGCCAAGCACCTATATTCTGGACACAGCAGGAAGATAGGCAAGCACGTTCTCGTCCCGAAGGAGCGCCACCCAGCGGCACACTGTCTCGTGGCGCCCTTAGACTTGCCTCGGAGTCTGCGCGTTGCAGTGGTACAGGTAGTTCGGAATCGCTTCCTCCGAATCCCTCACCACGCCCGAAAACTTGCGAATAAGATCTGGCCGGGCTTTCTGGACTAACTTTGGACCTGGAATTGAGGGAAATGAAACTATCATGAGATATGTATATACATAATAGTTTTCCCAAAACATTTTAGGACTCAATCTATTCCATGTCTCACTGGATATCCATACAAATAACACCTCTATTTTGATTTGCTCAGCTTTGTGACCTGCACTGAACACGTATCCCTATGTGAATGAAGAGTGACGAGCACCCACCCCAGGGGCCGGCTGTTCTGACGATGGCGAGCGGGTTGAAGGGCTGCCGGAGGACCCCTAGGGCCCGCACCCACAGCGGCCGCTCGGGGAGACCCCAGGGGTCGGCCAGGATGAGGTGCGCCACCCTGGGGGAGGACGAGGGTTTGGGGTTGAAAACCAAATCCACAAACTGGAACACAAGCACAGAGAGGGAGGGGGAGGGAGGGAGGAGAGAGAGAATGAGAGCGGGAGAAGGAGTGAGAGAGCGGAGAGAGGAGGAGAGAGGGGAGAGGGAGGAGGGAGGGTGAGAGCGGGAGAGGGAGGGGAGAGAAGAGGGAGGGGAGAGGAGAGGGAGGAGAGGAGGAGGTAGAGGAGAGGGAGGGGAGGGCAGGGAGGGAGGGAGAGAGAGGAGCCCGGAGGGGGGAGAGCGGAGGAGAGAATGAGAGAGAATGAGAGAAAGGAGAGAATGAGGAGGAGAGAATGAGAGGGAGAGAGAACTTTCCTTCTCGCATAAACCCTGAATCTGCCTTACCTCTCAGGGTGCTTGATGGCGTAAGAGGCGGCCAGGAACCCACCAAAGGAATGACCCAACAGAATGAACTTTTCCAGGTTCATCTTCTCCCTCCACGCTTCGATGGTCGTGATGAACTCCCTCTCAGCTTCCAAGGGGTCTCGCGTAAACTGTGGTCGGGAACTGCGACCAAAACCTATTGCAAAAAGCCAGGCGAGTCATGTTAGAAGGAAGGTAATGGTTATGGAATATTTCTGGCCTTCTGACTTTCTCCTCAATGAGTACTCCAACTTGTCTAAAGTGAAATCCTCATGAGTGAACCTCATGCACTACAGGTTCAAATTCAGAACAGACTACCTCATGTAAACACACACACAAAAAAAGAAATCATATAAGGAAATGTAATTCAATCCTGCACATCAGCCCAATTCTCGCCCCCTGCACCTGACTGCCGTAAGCCCCTTACTAACAGGCAACCACGTACCAACAATATCTATGGCATAGATGGGTCTCTTGGCAGCCAGCGCATCGTAGTTGAGGCACCACAAGCCCACCCCGGACCCAAAACCATGCAGAAGCACCAGGGGGATTTTGGGTGACTCTTCGTTAAAGCTCAGAGTCCAGATGTGCGAGTCCTCTGTGCCTACCGTGCAGCCCACGTTCACGTAACGCCCTCTGTACAAGCTCTTTAGGTCTGCAAAATCAAGGTTACAAATGACATTATCTCCTAAATATGAAGAATATTTATGGCATGACAATACTATTGCATGTCATATTATCAATACTTCTAGAAAATATCTCCTCATATATAATCTTATAAATATGTCACATATTTTCCTTCTCCATGAGAAACTTACTTGACAGCAACATCATTCTCTGCTTCTCGTAGCAGACTGAGGGACGTGGGGCACCATCGCAGCCAACTCCCGAACCAGCTGTCGGTGTCCGAGGTAGAGAGGAAAGAGATCGTAAGATTTTCTTTCAGATGTGTCTGCCCCCCCTGCTTCCTCGCTCCGCTCTTCTCTCTCTCTCTCTCTCTCTCTCTCTTCTCTCTCTCACTCTACACAGACACACACATACTCCCCTCCCTCTCTCTCTCTCTCTCTCTCACCACCACAACACACACACACACACACACACACTTCACACACACAAATACACACACCACACACACACTCACTACTCTCACTCTCTTCTCTCACAAATACACACAACACTCTCCTCTCTTTCACACAAATACCACACACACTCTCACTCTCACTCTCTCCTCTCTCTCTCACAATACACACAGAATCTCATAAACACTAGCAAACTCACTCTTCGTGTGAATGGCGTGTGGGATGTGAGCCGGTGATGACAATTTTATGATATTGCCTAATTACACTAACTGCTATAAAAAGTCAGCACGTGAAGCAAACACAAAACAAAATAAATATAAAAACCTGACAGTGACCCAAGCAAACCGCCGCGGCCTACACATCTCCGGAGCATCGACACAAGCCAAACAATTTTCTACCACATATCTATATCGTCTACAAATAGTTAAGTTCGCTTGCATAGCAATCACTCCTGCTACTACTAATATGTAAAAAAATAATGATGGTCATGATAATAATATTAACTAGGAAATGATAACCACTGTATTATAATATTAGCAATGTAGTATTAAAATAACTAATAACTTATATGCCATATCAAAGGTAATGTAATATTTATAATGTCACAGATAATGATTTTTTCGTCTCAGCAACAAGCAGAAACAAGCCAGAATAATGACAACTAACAGCCAAACAAATGTCAAATGAAATAAACAAAACAAAACAAAAAACA